TTTTCTCTAGAACTCCCCCCACAATCTCCAGCCCAGTTTAGTACCTTGGGGAGCAGGAAGGGTGAGATGACTGAGGAAATCTGAGGGGTTACTGCCAATTTGGGGAGGAAGGACTTTTTAAAAAAATGTTTTTACTCTCCACTTGTTTTTTTTTTTTTATTAAAATGAAGCTGCTGCCTTTGTGAAGCATTTGGAGGTGCCACAGAATGGCTGGCCAGGTAAGTGACCCCTCTTAATCAGGGCAGACTCAGTCATCTTTTTTTCAGGACTTAACTAAAAGAACTGATGAGGTGAGGGAGGGGTGGTAATGAGGAGATTCGATTTGGATATGGTGACATCTACAAAGGACAGTTCTGCACCTAAGTGTCTACAAACCTGCCCTGAGAGGTCTTGGGTTTGCATCCCTATTCTGTCATTGACACCCTGACCTTCAACCTTTCACTCTACTTTCCTCACTGGTAAAAGCTGGGGGCTAGATTAGATGGCCTGAACAGTGCCTCCCAGCTCCAGGGCCATCCCATGTGTGAGCTTTGACCTGTGACCAATGACAGGAGGAGCTTAAGCTGGGGGTACCTTATCTGGGGACCAAGTGACTTTCACCACCATTGTTCCAATCCCCATAATGTGGGGCTGCCACGCCGGCCTCTCCATAGGCAGGAGGATATGGACTCTTCCCAGAAGAAAAGTACAAGAAATAAGCTTTGAGCCAAATAGCTGATTGTGGGAAGCTGCAACAGACCAACTCCAAGGGCAGAGTTTGCTCTGCCGGGTTTCATGTTCTGCCGACTGCCAATCCCCAACCTGCTGCATTTTTAATTTCATAATTAATCAGCCAACAAGGGGATACTTATTCTTGCAGTATTGTGCAGTAGAGAATATAGTGAGCTTGAATGTGAGTCCCAATCCCATCTGTCACCATCGCTTCACCTACCTTACTGAGTCTCAGTTTCCTCACCTTTTAAAATACGGATACAATAGCTGCCTTATCTACATCATGAATTTATGAGAAGTGTTTAGACTGATAGCTATTGTTATTGCCAAATGATGGAGTTGTAATAGATTTCAGAGCTAGGCAGGACCTCAGTACTCATCTAACATTGAGATGGTGTTTATCATGTGCCAGAAGCTGTGCTTGGTACTTCACAGAGGTGAAGTGACCAGGTCAAGGTCACCTAGCTAGTTGTGTCTGAAGCTGGATTTGAACTCAGGTCTTCCTGAAGTTCACAGCCAGTTGATGGCATGAGATGTGACAGGACCTTGTGATTCATAAAACATGAATAGCCTCTGCATGTAACCAGCTTCTTAGCTCTTTGACCCCCGTAGGTTCCCTGTAAACAGGCAGCCCCAACAAAGATGTTGGAGTTCAAGTATCCAAAGAAGGGAATGTGAGTCGTGCTTGGAGTTGAACCTGATGGACGGCAACTCCACTGGGTGGGTGGAGGGGCTGGGCCAGATCGTTCTCAAATCCCGTGATTTGGAATTTCTTCCTGTGAGAAAATGGGAAAGCTTTGGAGCCCTCCAGCCTTCATGCCTTGTCTCACAGTGCCATCTAGTGGCCAAGACACAGGTGGCAGGTGTTCGGACAGAGGCATATTCTGTCCATGGAGTGAGTTAATAAGATACATTCCCTGTGCTCGAGGAGCTCACAGTCTAAAAAAGCTACAAGACACCAAATGCTAATGACAATCATCTTTTAATTTATTTTCTTTTTATATTTTGAATTTTTTTCTAAGCATAGGCAATGGGGTTAAGTGACTTGCCCAGGGTCACACAGCTAGCAAGTGTCAAGTGTTTGGTCTGGATTTGAACTCAGGTCTTCCTGAATCCAGGGCTGGTGCTCTATCCACTGCGCCACCTAGCTGCCCCTAATTTATTTTCGATCAGAATTAATAATAGATTCCTTTACTTGACCCTTTCCTACCTTTCCAATCTGCTGTCTTATACCTTTCTTCTCTCAGAGATCCAGTGACGTTGGATATGAGCATCCTCCTCTTCCCTTCTTCCCTCTCCTTACCTTTTAAGCTTTTATAAAGACATATTTTCTTCACACATACAAAATCTTAGTCCACCAACATGTGGGAAGCATTATTCCTAACTCCCCCATACCTCCTCAGTCTCTTAGGAAGGAAAGGGAATTATTAGGTCCAGTGCTTAGCTCAGTTACTGTACACAGCCCCAGTTACTAGGTCAAAGCCACTTCAGGCTTGAGTTCTAGGCACCCTGGTTTCTCTGCACTTCCCTTTCAGTCTGGCTCACTGCAAGATTCTACCCACAATCCTGTCTTTAAGGTTGCCATGGCTCAGAGTCCCAGATTTGATGGGGATTTACTGTCGACAACTGAAACTGAAGACAAAGGACACGGAACAGAAACGGACACCCCTGTACCTAGAGCAGAGGAAGGAAGTCCTTCACTTCTCACCAGTTCTGTTCATGGCACCTTCACTGTGGGTGAACTGAGATCTTCATCCTGGAAGTAGCTGGAGAGAGCATATGGGGAAGAGCTTGAGCCAGAAAGAGCTATGGATGTTTCCACTGGCTGTCCTCTATGCCTTGAACATTCTCTCTCATCTCCACTTCCTGGCTTCCTTCAGTTCTAAGCTAAAATCCTGCCTGCAAGGAGGCTTTTCTGGTCCTTAATTTCTTTGTGCTAGGCACTGTGCTAAACACAAGAGGATACAGAGTAGGTACTTAATAAATGCTAGTTGACTGAATGACAGGAGACAGGCACACAGCATCTGTGTTAGTTAGATCCTAACTGCTCTCAAAGAGTTCCAGTTATCTAGCTTTGATGCACTGTGTCTCTAGATACTTAAAGAACAGACAGATAGGATTCCTATCCCTCTACCAGTGGTGAGAAATCTTGGCAAATGGGAGATGTGCTGCAGGACAGCAAGATGTTCAAATGCTATCCTGGTTTTCAGAGTGGAAGAAGGGGAATCCTAGAATGCACTGTTAAAAAGAGAATTGTTTTTTAAAATCTAGAAAAGGAAACGGTGATCAGAAAGAGCCAGCGTTGCCTCGTGGTGAACAAGTCCCTGGTGCCTTTTCACTGGCCACCCCTGTGCCTGGAATGCTCTTTGTCCTCACTCCTGTCTCCCGCCTTCCTTCAAGGCTTGGCTTGAATTGTGCCTGCCCTCCGAGGCTCTCTCCCATTTACGCTGTTGACACCTTGTACATGCATAGCTGTTTGCAGGCTGTCTCTCCATTAGACAGGTACTTGAGACCACTGGTTCGTGTTGTTTCATTTTGATTTTTGCTTTTCTTTATAGCCTTACCTTAGCACAGTGCTCTGGCACACAGTGTTATTATTTATATCAGGGCTTCTCCTTACTATGATTATATCTAACTTTTTGCAATGTGGAGGAAAACGTAACAAAATAGACGCCCATTTATTGGGCAAGGACTAAACAATCAATGTACATGAGTGTGATGGTGTATTGCTACACTGTAAGAAATGGTGAATGCTATGAATAAAGAGAAGGATGGAAAGACCTATATGAAGCAATGCAGAGTGAAGACAGAAGCATCAAGAAAATAATATTCACAGTGACTATGCCTGTGTAAATGGAGAGGACATCCCTCCTTCCCCCCAAATCAAAAGGGAACGCTGAAAAACTATAAGGAACAAGCATGGCCAAAAAAAAGATGAGAAGAAACCCCCCACCTGTCCCTTGGTAGAGGGTGCAGGTATACAAGTGCTGCCCATTGCAGCACATTTTTAGATTTTTTTAAATGTACTAATCACTTATGCTGATTTCCCTTTTTGTCTTTAAAAATACTTCATTATAATATTTTGCATGACTTCACAACTATAATTGGTATATTGCTTGCCTTCCCCAAAGGGAGACAGATAATTTGGAACTCAAAATAAAAATGAATGTTGAATGATAATCTATGATATGGGATGGCTCTCTGAAGACAACCTATAAAGAGACATTTTATTCAAAATAACCACAATTGGTTATATACTTGGTAGTATATCTACCAACATGCACTGAGGACCAATATTATATTAATCCAACTGTAAAACACTCTTTGCAGAGATAAAGCTAGATCTAAATAACCGGGGGAAGAGTTAAATCCAAGTGACTGATAAAAATGTTTAGACAGCACTGATCACTGGAGCACTCCACTGCATACTTCCCAATGTGACAATCAGTTGTTTGTCCTTTGTTCTTGAAAAGGACCAGTGACATCAGGAAGGTGATGTCTTGACTTGAAAGTGAATTGGATTTAACTGAGGCAGGACTGTGCAAAGTCACCAGCCTCACTCTCTCCTCTGGAGCCATCTGGGTCCAGTGGCAAGATATAGATCAGGATGACTGGAAATGGCCCAGGATACAGTGGGAGATCCTGGCCTTTTTAAGCTAAGGTCTTTCCCAGGTCTCAGTTTGTCTGAGGCAACACTCAATCAATGATTGAGGCTAGGTCCATCAAGTAAGTAATGATTACTCTGGGGCTGATCATTTGAATGGTTTGAGACCCATCTAATTGTGCTAATATGTTTAACCCATCTCTCATGTTTTCCACAAGATTAACAGGAGACTATACAATGTTTAGCTAAAACCTAGGTAAATCCTGCATACAATATTCCTTTAGATCTGCCAGTTAAGTAATCCTGTCAAGAATGGAGATAGGCTGATTCTAGCATTACTCATTCTTTTAAAAGTACATTGTCACATATCTATAATCTCATGTCTCTGGGGGAAAAAAAAAGGCAGGTGCATATTCTCATTACCAGTTGCTAAGCTGAGTGATTCTGTCCTTACCCCTTCCATTGGGATTCATGGCATGAAGAGCAAAACAGCCACAAAGACATGGTTCTCCTTGCTTAGGTTGCCGAGGGTGGCTGGCAAAGCATGGCCAAGCCTCACTACCTAATGTAACCCCTTCCCCTTTTCTCCTAAAAGTATAAGAACCTTCTCCTGTGAGTCTGCTGGGGTGACATTCCCCAGAGTGGCAGGTTTGCTACCATATCTCAATTAAAGATGCTTTATTCCTCCACTTATGAGTTTAATTTATTCAGTACTTTACAATATTCAGTGTTTCTGACAACAAAGTAATATTCCATATTTAGGTACCAAAGTTTATTTAGCTATCCCCCAATCAACAGGCATCAATTACAGCCAAATATGTTCTTGGTGAAAAAACTGGCTACATTCAGAATGTTTCAACTCCTTATGAGTTCCCTAATGTTTAGCAAGGCATCCCCTCCCGAGTCTGAATTTTCTGATGACAAATGAGGTTTGTCCTCTCACCAAAAGCTTTCCCTCTGTCATTGCATTCTAAAGGTTTCACTTCAGTATGTGTTCTCTGATGTCTAATAAGGTGTCCTTTCTGGATGAAACCTTTTCCACATATACTACACTCAAAGGGTTTCTCTCCAGTATGAATTCTTTGATGATAAATGAGGTGTCCCCTCTGACTGAAGGCTTTCCTACACTCATTACATTCAAAGGGTTTCACTCCAGTATGAGTTCTTTGATGAGTAATAAGGTCTCGCCTTTCACTGAAGGCTTTCCCACATTCATTGCACGCAAAAGGTTTCACTCCACTGTGACTTCTCTGATGGGTAATAAGATGTCCTCTTCGACTGAAGCCTTTCCCACATTCATTACATGCAAAAGGTTTCTCTCCAGTATGAATTCTTTGATGGGTAATTAGGCTTGCCCTTTCACTGAATGCTTTCTCACATTGATTACATGCAAAGGGTCTCTCTCCAGTATGAGTTCTCAGATGAGTAATAAGGATAGCCTTCCGGCTGAAGCCTTTCCCACATTCCCTACATTCAAAGGGTTTCTCTCCAGTATGAATTCTTTGATGATAAATGAGGTGTCCTCTCTGGCTAAAGGCTTTTTGACAATCATTACATTCAAAGGGTTTGACTCCAGTATGAGTTCTTTGATGTCTAATGAGGTTTGCCCTCCGGCTAAAGGCTTTCCCACATTCAGTACATGCAAAGGGTTTCTCTCCAGTATGAGTTCTCTGATGATAAATGAGTTGTCCCCTCTGACTGAAGGCTTTTCTACATTCATTACACTGAAAGGGCTTCACTCCAATATAAGTCCTCTTATGTTTAGTCAAGCTTCCCCTATGGCTCAAGGTTTTCCCATATTTATTACATTGGTCATGTTTCTTGCCAGTATGAAATGTCTGTTGTCCAGCAAGATTTGATCTTCTGGAAAAGGCTTCACCACATTCGTAGTGTTCTTGCAGCTTTTCTCCAGCATGTGTTCTACGAAATTTAATTAGGTCTGAATGGTAATTGAAGGGCTTTTTCCATTTTTTATACTTAGAAAGATTCTTCCCTAAAGGGAATATATTACATGGAATTAGGTCTGAAAAATCTCTGAAGCTCTTTTCAAGTGTCATGTATTTATGGATACTTCCTCCTACAGTTTCTTTCCACAGTGCATCAAAGACTGATCCCAAATGAAAATGCCTCCCAAATGCATTACACTGATGCACACTCCCTTTCTTAAAAGCTGTTCTGTGAGTGCTTGTTACTTGTCTGGATGGTCTCTCCCAGCTCTTCTTTCCTTTCTCTGAATTGATGTCATATCCTTCAGCTTCTCTCTTCTTAGACAGCCAGGGACTATTGTTTGGCAGTCTTTTCCCAGATGATACTCCTATGTAAGTGTCTTGTATCAGACTTGGGTCGAGGGTTTCAAACCAGATTTCATTAAGGGAATCTAAAAGAAAATTTTTTAAAAGTCACTATCTGCTGTTGATTATGATGTGAAAAAAGGTCCTAATTTAGAACTAATTCTAGCTTCAGTCCCATCCATCAACAAGAATAATGTTCAATCTAGACCAGCTAGAACAAACTATTTTTTTTGGTGGAAACTGAAGATAAGGGCAGGTAAGGGAATAGTAAAAGAGTACCTACCTTCTCAGGACTAAATGAATTCCTTTTCAGGGCCCTGAAAGCATTTATATATGTCATTAAAAAGAACATCCAATGAAAAATTGTAGGATGGTCCTATATATGCAAAAATATTTATATCTTCTCATTTTGAGGAGGCAAAGAACTGTAAATTAAGAGGATGCCAATCAGGGAATACTTGAACAAATTATGGCCTGTGAATACAATTGGATATTATGTGTTGTAAGAAATAGTAAAGGGTATGGTTTTAGAAAAACACAGGGAAACACGTAGAGTAAAGAAGGCAGACCAAGACTAACATTTATACAATAACAACACTCAAAAAGTGAACAATTTTGAAAGACTTAAGAATTATGATCAATACAGTGATCATCCATGACACCAAAAGACAAATGAAGGATCTTACCTACCTTCTGACAGAGAGGTGATGGATGTTTATGGTCAATATGAGAATCTGTTTTGCAAGACTATGCATGTTTGTAACAAAGGTTGTGTTTTCTTTTTTCCCCCCAGTAAGGAGGGATGAGGAGCAAGAGAAAAATAAATGCTTGTTTATTAAAAAAAAAGTGTTTGAAAAGCTATGAAATTTGACAACTTTGGAAAATTTAAATACAAGGGAATTTTTGAGCATGAGCACTTTAAAAATATCTTTGAAAAGAAATTAAAAAGATGGTGTATTGGGCCAAGGAAAGAAGGTGCAATCTCAAAACAAAATCTCCTCAAGTTGTCAGAGGATGTCTTCACTTTTATCACCCTGTTTATTTTATTCATCTATGCAAAAAAGTGTTTACTGAACCATAATTAATTAGTACTTTACATACGACTTTAAATCCGCTTAAACTCTTCAGTTACTAGAAACAAGGCTCTGACAGTGACTAGGTTGCACGAGTATGTGTTGTGCATTGTCATTTTTTTCCACAAAGTACATATCACAGTTGTTCTTCTGACATGGTTTTTTGTAGTAACTTAGCTCTTCCACTTTGATTGAAATTAGTCCTGGAAATTGTGATGATGTAAACTGTATTTTTTAGTTTAAAATTTTTATTTTCAGTTCCAAATATCCTCCCTCCCTCTACCTCCTCCCCACTTACTGAGAAGGCAAAAAACATAATATCCATTATATGTATAAAGTCATACAAACCATATTTCCACAATAGTTATGTTGCAAAAAAAAAATCAAGGAAGATAAGTGAAAAAAATATGCTTCAGTCTGCATGCAGATCAACTGTATTTTAATCTTTTGTTTTTATTTTTTTAAGGTTTTTTTGTTGTTGTTTTGTTTTTTGGCTAGGCAATGGGGTTAAGTGACTTGCCCAGGGTCACACAGCTAGTAAGTGTCATGTGTCTGAGGTCAGATTTGAACTCAGGTCCTCCTGAATCCAGGGCCAGTGCTTATCTACTGTGCCACCTAGCTGCCCCTCAACTGTATTTAAAAAAACCTTTTTTGTTAATGTCATCTGTTCTTTCCTAAGCCATTGTCTTTCTATAAAGCCAAGGTTTAAACTTTGGGTGTTCTGACTACAATTGAATTAGTACAACATCTTGCCTTTGTAGACCTGATAGTTACTGCTTTGGAATGTGGGCAATAAAACACCTTTTTAAGCATTTCCTAGTTCTGTAGACTGGTTTGTTGTGCTGCCATTAGTGGGACAAGTATGTATTAAGCTGTGAAAATTTTATTTCGGTTTTAGAAATAGAAGAGCCTGCATAGAAATGTCTGGCTTTGACATTTTTTCTCAATTAGTGAACATTTAAGAATTACTGGGCTTCAAAGATCCCAGCTATTGGGGCAAGAACTCACTATTCAACAGAAACTTTCGGGAAAACTGGAAAGAAGTTTAGTAGAAACTAGTTAGAGAATAACATCTCACACTACATACCAAGTCAAGTTCCCAACAGGTAAGTGATCTAGGAATAAAGGGTGTTATCACAAACAAATTGAAGGAGCATAAAAGAAATCGGTCATGAACTCTTTCACTACCCATAGATCTGACAAATGAGAGAGGTTGACAGGAGGTAAAGTAGACAACTCTGAATAGGTAAAATTAAATTTTTTTTACATAAAGACAAAGCAAAAAGTAGAAGAGAAACAGGGAAATGAGGGAAAAATATTTGCAATAAGTTTCTCTGATAAGGGTCTCATTTCTAAGATGTAAGGAGAACTGATTACTCTTATAAATGTCAAAGGCTATGAACAGGCAGTTTTCAGATGAAGAAATCCAAGCAGTCAGAAGTCAGATAAAAAAATGCTCTAAATCACTAAAATTAGTTAAATGCAAATTAAAACAACTATGACCTATCACTACTTACCTATCACAGTAGCAAAGATGACAAAAAAAGGAAAATGACAAATGCTGGAGGGGCTGTGGGAAAACAGGTAATGAATACACTGCTAGTGGAGTTGTGAACTGATCCAATCATTCTGGAGAACAGTTTGGAACTATGCCCAAAAGGCTATAAAAGTATTTAGACCCTTTGATCCACTAATACTACAGCTAGGACTGTATCCAAAAGAGATCAAAGAAAGAAGAAAAGGACTCGTATGTACAGCAATATTTACAGCAGCTCTTTTTGTGGTGGCAAAGAACATGATGAAGGGGATAATTTCAGAAACCTGGGGAGACCTGTGTGAGGTAATGCAGAGGAAAGTGAACAGAACAAGAACAATTTAGTAACAACAATAAAGATAAGCAGTCTTGAAACACTCTGATCAATGGCCTGACCAACCTCAGTCCCAAGGAATTTATAATGAAACACGCTACCCACCTCCAGATACAGACGTGAGAACTGGTGTGTGTCACAATCCTCTCTCTCTCTCTCTCTCTCACACACACACACACACACACACACACACACACACACACACACACACACACACTCTGCTTTTTAGTTACTCTACACTTAAAAAAGCATGGAAAGTGAAGTAAATGGACATTCTGATGCATGATCTTTACTTTACAGGTGTCTGACTATTTGTTTTTGTTGATGATTATTAAACTTCAAATATATGTTTAAAAATCCAACCAAAAAATAGGGACCATACCTTATTCCCTGAGAAGGGGCTGCTCTTGAGCACAAGATGAAGCTCATGTGAAAGAGGGAGTCCAGGTCTTCCCCCCAAGCCTTGGGGCTTGTCCCACAGTGTCAAGGTGCAGCCCTCCCCACGTGGTCAATCAAGCTGTTGGGTGTCATGATGCACTCACCTGGACAAGTGCTTTGTGGGCTTTCTTCTCCTTCTGGTTTCCATGATGCATTTCCTCTTCCCAACAGGGAAAGCACATCCAGTTTAGAAACGGGAAGCCCTACACATAGGAAGAGAAATGGGAAGGTGCTGGGGGACAGAAAGCTATTTAAGCATTCAACTCTATTCATGGCCAAGAGGGCAGCTAGAAAGTACAAAGGACCTCTGAAGAAGGTGCTGCTTTGTATTCCAAGGGAAGCTAGGTTAACGAGCTTATTTAGATTCAGAGAGAAAAGTGGTTCATTCAACCCACTCTGTGCTAAGAAAGTGAGGCCCTTTCTTGGTATCTCACTTGGGATTCAGTTATCTCAATCAGATAATCAACCAGAATTTATAAAGCATTTATAAATTTTATAAATTTATATATATAAATTTATAAAATTTATATATCTAGGCACCGTGCCCCCAAGGAGCTTCCATTCTCTCAAGGGAAACACGTACACACAGATGCCAATACCAACTCTGGAGAAAATAAAGACCATTCCAGGAAGGAGTCTGCAGCAGCTGCAGAGATCACGGGAGGCCTCATTTGGGGGGCGACATGAGCTGAGTTATACGAAGGGATGAGAAAGCACATACAATGTCCTAAGTGCAGTAAAGCAATGAGACCAGTAAGGTAGACAACTAAGGGGCGCCCCAGAGTGCTGGGCCTACAGTTGGGAAGACTTCAGTCTTCCCCGGGTAAGTTACTTAACCTTTCTCATCCCAACTTTACAGATGAGGAAACTGAGGCTTAGAAGAGCACCTACCTCCCCGGGTCTTTGTGAGAATCAAATGTGATAACATACGTAAAGAGAGCCTGTTGTGAACCTCAGAGATACAGAAATGCGCACTGTTATTGTCATTACTATTACTATCATGGGGCATGATGGTGAGTAATGTGTAATAGACCTGGAAAGGTACACTGAAGCTGGGTTACGAAGGCCAAACGGTGGATTCGATATTTTATCCTATAGGCAACAGGGAGAGATTCAAGGACGTGTGGTCAGACCTGAAAAATCTTCCCTGGACTCTGTGTGTGTGCTTTCAATTTATCAGCAATTTATTTAGTATTTACTGCACACTGTAAGAATTGCCCAGGGAGATACCAAGTTTAGCTAAGATAATCAGTGCTTGCCTCACGGGGATTCTGGTCTAGGGATAGTGAAATCCACATAAAGGGAGAGAGAAAGAGAAAGAGAGAGATAGAGGAGGCCTTCCTGGAGCAAGGGGTCTCCCAGCTCCCCTGGGGCCTTTAGCCAGAATCTCTGACAACAGGACGTAGGGAGCATGGAAGCTATGGGACTGCATCCCTTGGGATCTGGGATTCTCCACATGCCCCGAGCTCTTGAATAGCCCTGCCGAGCCAGCCCAACTTCAGCTAAGCTTTTTTGGCCCCCCTCAAAGCCAGAGGTTCTGCGTCCAAGGCCAGAGCCCCCTTACCCAGTGATACGAGGTTCTCACAGTTCTCCAGCGTCACGTGCCAGTACAGGTCCTTCTGAGTTGGATGAAGATGGCTCCATTCCTCCTGGGTGAAGTGTATGGCAACATCTCTGAATGACACCAATTCCTGAAACAAACACATACCTGCCTAGCCAGGGACCACGCAGTCAAACATTTCTTGGTGATGCATTCACTATGTGCCTTCTCTTGTACTGGACTACATAGGAAGTTGATAATTTTAATCCTGTCCACAAATGAATCCTGAGAAAATCGCAAACTTTACCTAACACTGATCCTGGTGCTCACCCTCCTGATAGCCAACTGTTAAAAGCAAGCATTCTCCAGTAAGGATCCACGTGTCCTGACATGGACATCCACGAACACACTTGTTCTTTTTTTTTTTCCAGCCAAAAACAAGGTTTATTGAAGATTCGCCATATTAGCTAGACTCTTAAGGAATCTGAACATCTATGGATGTTGGCTAGATTACAAAAGTCTGCACTGCGATCACACTTCTAATCAGTTGTATTATGGTCATCATCCTCCATTAGGGATCAGCACGCTTCTCAAAGATTTAATCGGGAGGCAGTAATCCACAAAAGGTACGTCGTGCTAGGTGTTCTCCCCATCTTCTGACCACTGAAGCCACGTGGCTCTCTGCCACAGATCACTCTTCCTTCTGCACAGCTGGGCTATGATCCCACTGAAGTGGCCCCACTCTTAAAATTCACACTGCACACTTTCATCTGGCTAGAAACGATCATATTTCACACAACTACAACCTCGAATAGTGCAAATCCAAACCCACTTCATGATATTCATTACTCGCTAAGTTCCTAGGAAGATATTTCCTGCAGTCCTTCAATCAGACTTGTGACCATTCTGATGAGAGCACTCTTTCTAATGGTGAAAATGGTAACGCATCTTAGCCTCTGTGATTCTTGCCTCCATTTTCCCAGAAAAACAAACCACACCAACAAAGAAACCTTCAGGGGGGGTTCCAGCCAGTAAGTCCTGGGGCTATCGGATCTCCTCTAGGGCTCATCAGACAAGGGAATGAAACGCCAGGGGCTATGCGTCTAATCTTAGCCTTCATCCTCCCTAAAAGATCCGTCAACCTGTTTCATGATGTTCCATCCACGAGTACTCATTGGTAGCGTGGTACAGTGTACTGATGCCCATAACATGTCCTGCTATTGTCCTCTCGTTGACTAGCAATTTCAAATTTTCAGAGGTAGTAGTATTCTTTGATTCAAACACCACCAAACAAGGATGATGTAAGAAGATGGTCTTTTGCTAGTAAAATTGACAAAAGAGAAAAATGACAATGCTGGAGGGGCTGGGGAAAAACAGACACAGTAATTCACTCTTAGTGGGGAAGTGAACTGGAAGAGGTAAAAGAAAGAGGGAAAGGGTCTATGTTTTGCAAAGTATTTATAACAGTTGTTTTCATAGTCGTAAAAAATTAGAAACTAAGGGGAAAGCTTCTTATTGGGGAATAGCTAAAATAAATGGTGGTGTACCATGAGAAATGGACAGTTTCAGGGGAAACTGGGAAGACCTATGAGCTGATAGAACATGAAGTGAACAGAACCAGGACAATTTACAGAATGACCACACTACTATAGAGAAAAACAACTTTGAAAGATTTTAGAACACTGACCAATAAAATGGTAAATCATGAGTCTTGAAGGCTGAAGATGAAACATACTGTTCAGCCCCTGCCAGAGAGTTGATGAACTTAAAATACAAAGAGCAACATGTATTTTCAGGAATGGCCAATGTAAAGAGTTGTTTGGCATGGAGGTTTGTTGTTTGTTTTTATTTTCTCCCTTTTTTTTCATTTAATAGTATTGTATTTTTTCCCAATTACATGTAAAGACAGTTTTCAGCATTCACTTTTATAAGGTTTGGAGTTCTAAATTTGTCCCCCTCTCTCCTCAAGGCAGCATGCAATCTGATATAGGTTATACAACTACATTAAACACATTTCCACATTAGTCATGGAATACTCTGCCTCCTCTTCTCCACCTCAAGGCTTTCTCCAGGTCTCAGTGACGATCCTGCCCCCTACAAGAAGCCCTTCCCCATCCCCATTAACGCCAGGGTCTTCCCCGAATGTGTCTTGTATGTACAGGTGCTTGTGTGTTATCTCCCCTAGTAGCCTGTGAGCTCCTGGTGGGCAGGGGCTGAACTGTACCTTTCCTTGACCTCCAATGCTTAGCACAGTGCCCAGTAGACAGCAAGAGCACATTAAATGCTCTGTGCCTGACTAGATGTGTGATCTGTGACCACTGAAGGAAGGCAGTAAAATGATGAGAAATGCTGTGGCATGAAGTGACACCCAGATAAGAACTTACCTGAGCCCTGGCCGTGACAAGCCCAGCAAGCATTTCCTCCTCATCCTCGATTCTCTTGTTTTGGGGAAGGGGAAAGTCTTGAACAAACTTATCTGGATAAGAAGAAAGAAGTCCTGGGGAGAGATGAACCCTGACCAGGGCCTCACTAGCAGCCTGGACTCCCTCCCTCCCTGGCCCTTCTTTGCTATCCGTCCTGCATCCCAGACCCCCTTCCATCCACTTCCTTGACCTTCCTCTGGAGCTGGCCCTTGCTGCTGAAGGAGGTCACGAAACGACGTCTTCACAAAGTACACAGAGAATTCTTTCTCCCTTCCCTGGTCCCCATCACACACTGCTAGTCCTTTCCCTCGGCAACAATACTTTCTCAGTGCTTCCTGACTGACTGCCTGGAAGGACCGATGAGCCTGGAGCAGACAACGGTGTGTACTGAGTGGCGCAGAGAAGGGGAAGTTGGAGGAGCTGCTTCTCTGCCCTCCTGGGCCATCCCCTCACACACCCTCCCCTCGGGTGCCTCTTCTCCTGTCTTACACGCTAGGCAGGTCCCCCCTTCACCGTCGCACTTCAGTAAGGTTCACCTCTCTCCCCAGAGGGGAAGGCCAAGTCTCCCATGGTCACTTCCTCCTCGCTCGCTGACCGTTGTGGCTTCACGCCAATGCTCTCTGCTCCGCCAGATGGTCAGGACTTGCTGTATCCCCAGGCTCCAGGACTGGTTCCTTTCCACCAGGCGCTGCCCTGAAGCTGTGGTGAAAGGACAGTGAAGCTGGGCCCTGTGGGCTCCAAACCAGCACACGTGGACCTGGGTCCTGCACTGTGGGGCTCAGATGCTCGGCCCCAGCTCGGACCTCTGCCTCTGGCATTCCAGGCTGGGCCCTGTCAGATTCCGCCAAAAGCTAGTCATGCCCAAGAATGAATGGGGGCACCAGGAGGAGCCAAGAACTCAATCACACATTGTTACTTAGGGAACACTAAAGACAGTCACAAGCCTTGGCCATACAAATGGGCACAGTCATCCAAGAAACCTTGGCCAGAAAGGCACTGTGTGCCACACAAGGGGGTGAGGAGTGAGACAGGGGCGAGGGTGTGTAACCTAGTGCAGGACTCAGCATCCACCAGAAGCTCGGTGCTCACAAAGTATTATTTATTACCATGACAACCAGCATTTATATAACACGTTAAAGCTGGCAAAGTACTACACATAGGTAACCTCATTTGTCTCTCACAGCAGCCCTTCAAAGTAGGTATTGTTATGAGTCCCATTTTACGGAGGAAGAAACTGAGGCAGACATTGGTGACATAGCTAGTAAGTATCTGAGACAGGATTTGAACTTGGGTCTTTCCGACTCTAGGCCCAGAGCTCTACCTACAGCACCACCCAGGTGACGAATGTACAACTGGATGGTGAACTTAAATTTAAGTAAGACCTTTCATTGAGGGGATCTAGCTCTGACCCAGGAAGAGTGGTTCTGACAGTAAAAGGTAAGGCTACACCTCTCTACTCCGCCACCTGCTTCCTGGGAGGTGGGAAAAAAATAAAAAGCCCCAACAAGTCCAGGTCCAGCAGTGAGAGCAGAATTGGAGATTTTGCCAATTATAGATACAGGTGTCGGTGCAGATGGATGCAGGAAGAGGAGACTTTGGCCGTTAACCAGGGGCTGCCCTGCTAAGGAAGGGTCTTGAAGAGATCAAGGGATGCACCTTGTCCAGCCGAGGCATGAGCTAGCCATGCCCAACATTCGAGGGACCTTGACTAGCAATGGAGTCAGCCACCCAGCACCGGGGAACACAAATGAGGGGCCGGTGAGAGAGAGAGGAAGCCAAGGAGAGACAACAGTGAATCCGTCCACATGGGACTCCTCATCATGGCACTGTGGCGTTCTGCCCGCTTCTCCCCACTGCCTCTACACGTGTGAGGGGCAGACTGTGCCCGAGGTTCTCAGCCTTGCTTGCTAACTGCCGCTCTGGCCGTACCTTCTGAGTAAGATGCCTTTGGGAGTCAAATGAGTCTACTGGCTGAACGCTAACTGCAAGCCTGCCGATGGGGGCTCGGGCAGAACCCCGGCACCAGCTCCCCGGCTGATGGACCACAAGCTCCCCGGGGGAGTTGGGGGACAGCGCGCCCATAAGGGGCGGAGAACGGTGGGCACGCACTCCACGGGTGCCCACACTTCCAATTTCAGATGCAAACAACTATAAGCACGCGCGCGCGCGCGCGCGCACACACACACACACACACACACGCCCTCTCACAAGTATTCAAGCACACATTTGCACTTGACACAAGCAAGCCCCCATCTCGGACATGCGCACTCCTTCCCGCCCTCCCTACTTGGAGTGGGAAGAACCGGGGCGCACGCGCAGTCATCTCTACCCTCCCTCATTCCACCGGTTCACTCTTAAGCTAGGAGAAGGGAGAAGGAGGGAAGACTATATGGGGAGCTGAGTGCCGTGCATGCATTTCTAGAAGCTTGGTGAAGGAAGTGGGGAGGGGGTAGATGGAGCAACACCTGTACGTTCTCACCGATGGGGGGAGGGGTGTTGCAGGGCGGTAAACGCATGCGCATTCACAGACCTCAGCGCTTGGCTATGAGAGGAAACATAAGACACGCGCATGCGCACGCACTAATTCCCTCTTGCCCTCCCTTGCCCCAAGGCGTCAACAGGTCGGAGCCGCTACGGGACCCTAGGCCTAGAAGTCTGACCTTTAGGGAGGGACGGCTGCATGGCATTCCAATGGCCCGAGGAACAATGACCACAATGCATCAGGCTCTGCGAAAAGCCGAACGGGATGGCCTAGAGCCGCCATTCTGCCTCCGACGCGAGATCTCTGGAGGCATTTCGGGAAATGGAGTCTCCGCAGGGGAGGGCTCCCGGCCTCCTGGCGCGCCCACGTGATACGTGGACTACATCTCCCAGAGGGCATTGGGGCCTTCCGTTCTCCTTTCCCCAACCCGGAGCGTGTGCGCCTGCGCCCCGGGCCTGCGGGTGGGTGCCACCTCCTGCCCTTGGCCTTGGCCCCGTAAGTGTTGAACCCCCTGAGGTTAAAGGACCCCGCGACTCTCCCCTGGCCGCCCGCCCTCTGGTCCTTGTCTTCGCAGCCGCGCCAGGAACGGGCCGGTGCCGTGTTTGATGAGAGCGGCTGTGGAGGCCGGCCTGGAGCGAGGGCGAGGGGCGCCGGGGCCACGTGTCTGCCCTGCCCCGAGCGTCTGATGGTTTTGTCTGTTATCGTATCATTATTATCATTATCATTACAGCTGCTGCTGCTCATGTAGGCTCTTGAGGCCGGCGTGTCACTGCTGCCTCCTTGTGGGTGGGCTCCTCTGAATCTCTGGTTCTCGCCTTCCTGGATTGAGGATGCCTTTTTCCCCGTATTTTATGTTTTTAGTAGGCCCCCCCCCAATCTTCCATTTGGAGCACAGAGCCCCCCCCACGCGGCTTCCCAGGACCCCGTACGGCCGGTGCTCTGTCGGTGCTCCTTGGACGGTCCCCATCCTGGCCCACAAGCCCACTTTCCCCATCTTTTGAGTTGTGGTCCACAAACTGAAATGGTTTTCACTCCCCTGCCTTCATCCGAACCCTGGGGATTGCTGGTGTCACCGGGCCGCGGAATAAGCAGCTCCAGGCCAGCGTGTTCATGGATGGCTCTGTCTCCTACCTCCTCCATCAGACCACGTATTTACATTGCATGGGGGCCTTCGGTGCTTTCACCCAAGAACGGAAACTTGAGGCTACCTCCTCTACTGTATATCAGTCTGGGAACCAGAATGACTGGATAGTTCGGTTACGCTCCCGACTTCGTGCTGTCTCATCTATGAGCTGCGTGTCCCAGAATATATATGAGGAGCCTCAAGGCTGAGAGGGGAAGATCAGTGCACGTGGTGCTTCTTTCCCGGGTAGATGTCTTACCGCAACTGTTTGTCCGGTGCATGAGCTCCGAAATTACTAATCACACGCGGCTGCCGTTTCTCCCTTCCCTCTCCCTTACAACCTGTAGCCCTGTTTTTCATCCTCGCCAGGATCTTTAATCTCTCCCCTCTTTAGCTCTTTCCTAGGCCACTGCCCCTACTCTGGTTTCACTCACCTCCTTTCCCTGCCTTGATCCCTTGGTGAACAAGTTAAAAGTTTTCCTCTTTCCCTCCCCTCTTCACTGCTTTGAAAATTCTCAGACTTCACCAAGCCCCAGGAAGCTAATTGTTAGAAGCACCTTATCCTCCTGCACGATGCCATTAGCCTCAGGACTCCAACCTCTGTCCCTTTGACTGGAGGGTAGAGCCATGACCTCCAAAATCCCCATTTAAGGAGGGAGCCCAGGCCAGACATCTCTTCATTTCTCACCTGGCTGCACTACTCTGAGTCTTCTCTGACTGACTTCACCATGCCCCCACCCTTCAGGAACCTTTTCACCCCTCCATGCTTTTCAGCTTCTTTTTGTGTATGTCTTCCCCATTACATTGTAACCTTCTTGAGAGCAAAGACTTTTTTTTATCCCCTGTGCTTAGCATAGTGCGTGGTATATAGTAGGCACTTCGTAAATGTTTATTGATTATTGACCAAAACTGCAGTGTTCTTTCAAGTTCTTTACTTCTGTATCCTATCAAAGGTCTTGTCCTGCCAAGCCCTAGTTTTGAACCATTTCCACCATCCACTGCCTTTTTCTCCATTCTCATGGAGCAGCACAAGTAGGAGCATCATGAAACTGTGTTAAATAGGTCCACCACAAATTTGTGTTACATCATCTCGACTGGACTTTCACTGTGGCATATCTCCTAAACTGGCTCACTATGCCATTTCCCCACAGTAGCTTTTCTGAATCTTTTCGTTCTTTCTCATACTGCTCATGCAGTACCCCACCTTCCTCCCTCTCTCTCAGCTGAGAACCTGGCCTCATATTTCATTGAAAAAATTTAGGCAATTCAGAGAGCTCTCTCCTCCCTTCCTCTTCTCACTTCTCCTAAATGCTTTCAGCCATCCTCCTTCACCCCTGTCTTGTGGAGAGTTGGCCTTCTCCATACCAAGGTTAACCCCTCTACGTGCACAAGTGATCCCACATGCATCCTGTCACCTCCAGTAGATTGTCACTTTATTGTCTCTAATTTCTCGCTTATCTTCTATGTCTGTTTACTGGCTACTCTCCTGCCTACAAACATGCCTGTGTCCTACCTACTTTTTAAAAATAGTCACTTGATCTATCCATCCCCACTAGTTATTGTCCCATATCTCTCTTCCCTTTTGTAGCTAAACTCCTTGAAAAGATCATCTTTATTCTGTGCTTCCACTTTCCTCTCCTTTCCTTATCTCTCTGAAGTCTGGCTTCTGACTTCATCATTCAACCAAAAAAACTCTGAAGTTACCTGTGATCTTTTTTTTTTTTTAAGACAGTCCTTAGCCAAATGTGAATAGGAGGTAATTGATGCTTTGTCTCCATGTATTACATGGGTAATTAAGGCCATATAATACTCATTGTAAAAGATGAGATAGCTCTGAGGTGCACAAGATCACCTTACTCATCATCTTGATTTCCAGGGTGTTGTCCTTGTTCAGGTAGATATGCCAGGGGATTGGCTGATTCCATGCCTTTGTCATCACCATCAGCCTCTTTGGGGAAGTCAGACTAGGCTATCTTTTGCCTCAATTCTTTCTTAGTCTTTAATCACTGAGTGGGTGTTGCCTCAGACAAACTGAGATCTGGGAAAGACCTTAGCTTAAAAAGGCCTGGGTCTCCCACTGCATCTGGGGCCATCATCAGTCATCCTGACCTGTGTCTTGCCATTGGACTCTGACAACTGGAGGAAAGAGCGAGGGGGATGACTTTGCACGGCCCTGTCTCACTTAAATCCAATTCACTTGCAAGTCAAGACATCACCCTCCTGATGACATTGGTCCTCTTCAAGAATGAAGGACAAACAACAACATTGCCACCAGGCACTTGCTGATTAAGGTGTTCCACTGGGTCTTGATGTCTTTGTCTATTCATCAATAGGCCTGTGTTAGCCAGATATTTGGATATCGGATCCATCAGCATCACAAAACTGACACATACCTCAGCAGTGGGGTCTACATCGAGATCGAGTGCATCCTGAGATTGAAAGTATTCTCTAATGATAGAATCCACAGAATTGTGATTATGGTGGTCTTCCACAAATCCTCAATAGTGAGATAAAGTCTTGTCTGCACTTTGTATCAGGAGGCATCTGCGTGGCCATGATAAACTCCTAAACTAAGTGTAATCGACATGTGACAAATTGCCGTGATTCCCATAGTATGGATTACCTTCCATCGTGCATAAAGCTGGTGTCACATTCTTCCAGTCTTGAGGGTACATGCTCTGCAGCACTGTCGTGGGAAAGTTGGATGTTTAAATAGGACATCAAGGCTGCTAAGACTGACTCCAGCGGCTTGCCTAGTTGTATTGCTGGTGCTGGTGTGTGTTCTAGCCAGTGACATTTCACTGAGGCAATGTTGTGATCATCAGCCAGATGACTAAAATTGTGCCATGTGAGTGTTACATCAGTGCACAGTGGCTGCTCAGCATTTGGTGTAAGTTGCTCCAAGTCCTATTGAAGACATGTTGACTTGCCTGGGATATTTTCCCTCTAAGAGAAAATAAAAGCAAGCACAGAAGAACAGCATAGGTTACCCACTCATGAGCACAGTCGTATAGGTTATACACAATCAAGCCCAAATCTTCCAGTTTCTGAACCAGAGTAACATTAGCTGCCCAAGCCCTTGATTCTGATTCTATCAGTTGAGAGTTTGAATTTGATCGGCTTGATTTGCAGTCTTAATGTAGCTGATGTTTCAGTAAACCATAGCCAATTACATATTGTATTAGTAATTTAGGATGTTTTCCCCAGCAGCAAAAGATAGAAGGAGAAATTCCATTTAAAATAACTGTAGATGATATAAAATATTTGGGAGTCTACCTGCCAAGACAAACCCAGGAACTGTATGGACACAATTACAAAACACTTTTCACACAAATAAAGTCAGATATAAACAAATGAAGAAATATCAATTGTTTGTGGGTAGGCTGAGCTAATATAATAAAAATGACAACTCTACCTAAATTAATCTATCCAGTGCCATACCAATCAAACTATCAAAAGGTTATTTTTATTAGAGCTAGATAAAATAATAACATTAATCTGGAAGAACAAAAGGTCAAGAATATCCAGGGAATTAATGGGAAAAAATGCAAAGGAAGGTGGCTTAGCTGTACCAGACCTAAAACTGTATTATAAAGCAGCAACCATCAAAACTATTTGATACTGGCTAAAAATTAGAGTGGTGGATCAGTGGAATAGATTAGGTATGAAAGACGCAGTAGTCAATGACTTTAGTAATCTGCTGTTTGATAAACCCAAAGATTCCAGCTTCTAATATAAAAACTCACTATTTGATAAAAACTGCTGGGAAAGCTGGAAAATAGTATGGCAGAGACTAGGCATAGAACAATATTTCACACTGTATACCAAGAGAAAGTCAAAATGGGTACATGATGTAGACAAAAAGGCTGATACCATAAGCAAATTAGGAGAGCAAGAAATAGTTCAGATTGAAGTGTCAGATCTATGGAAAAGGGACAAATTTATGACCAAACGAGATAGAGAACATTGTGAAATGCAAAATGGATAATTTTGATTACATTAAAAAGGTTTTGTATAAACAAAACCAATGCAACGAAGGTTAGAAGGAAAGCAGAAAACTGGGAAACAACTTTTATAGCAGATGTTCCTGATGAAGGCCTCATTTGTCATGTAGAGAACTGAGTCAAATTTATAAGAATACAATTCATTCCCCAGTTGATAAATGGTCAGAGGATATGCACAGGCAGTTTTCAGATGAAGAAATTATAGTCATATGAAAA